CACTACACATTTTTTGCTTAATTTTTTTTATTACTTCTACACACACTCTCGATAAAAATACGGGCCACTGTTTTAATTTTCTTTTTCTTTTTCTGCCCGTGCATTGCACAGGTGTTGCTCTAGTTATAGAAAGAAATGAAAAAATGGTGATGGACAGTTGCGCAAGTTCATTAGAATCCAATATAACAGTCACTACCAACTAATTGATATTTAACATCATTTCTATTCAACAAAATGCTGCAAATTTGAAAAACTCTTCATACCTGCAACAAAATTAAAAAAAAAAAATGAAAGCCTGCTCAAGTGTGTGGAATCTGATAAGCAATATCTTAAAGAAGATTTGCTAACTATATTGTAGCATCCAGTAAAAGATCAAGAATAGAAAATAAAAGAGTAGCTTCAAGGACATCCGGAAGTGGTTACATTTCTTATAAAAAAAATGGGAAAAAGAATGGCTCATACATGGGCTCATAAACAGTGCAACACTATCATTCCACAAAAAAATAGCCTTGCTCTTTGAAATTTAAAAATTCTCAGTGATTAATATCTAATCTAATTGTAATACATTATACATCACAAGATTTGACTTTCTATACAATGAATGTCCCTGACAAGAACATCAGAGTTCTGTCCACTAGTGATGACAGAATTTTGACATGGAAAAATCGCATTATCACATTTTGTGGCAGAGATGTCTCGCGTTTCAAAGGAAATTTGGTGACTTTTGTTTGTAAATCAGCAGATTAGAAACGCCGAAGCATCAAAAGCCCCGAGATATTATAAAGATAATTCATACAAACAATTTCCACAACCGATATCTTTCAAGAAACCAAGGCGGCCCTAAAGAAAGCATGACTTCTATAAGTTCAACAATGAACGTGAAAATTCTATCAATAACACAAACAAATTCGAGGGTTAAAATCTTCCAAGAACAAGAGGATGTGCGGTAAAGTAACATTACTTCAATAACACAATATATAAGATCCATAATTTTTAGTTGATATCTTTAGATTTAAAAATGGAAAAACATGCGCATATGAAAGCCATGACCTTAACCGATGAAAAATAAGTAAAGTTTTAAAGCACCCTGTACAACCGTCATCAAATATACAAATTAAAAGGCATGGTCCAATCCAACTCAAATTCACTAGAGGGCAACCACTACCATCAAGGTCAAGCAGTAATTTCTTGCAAGTGTCATTTTAGCAGCACTGGAACATGAAAGCAATTAATGAAGGTAGCCTGTAATAAAAATGTAATGTTTTAAATCTAGGATATTGGCTAGCTCCAAAAACACTACAGTGGGATAGTATAAAGCAGGATAACTACAATTTTGACATTTTTTTTATATAGTTTATAAAATGTATATTATATACTTATAAATTCTAAAGAATGATAAACTACTTAACATTAAGGATCTCCATATTAACATAAGAAGTCAGACGCGTCTTAAACAAAACATAAAAGTAAATACCAACAAAAGTGAAAACAATGCCTAGATAGGAATCATCAACAATCATTATCTTCCAAATCCAATCTTCATTATTTTTATTATTATTACATCAATAGATTTCATTTTTGGAAAATAACATCTCAAAAATAGCCTTCCAAAAAAGTCCTAATTTCTCTGTCTAGATGGACTTTTTAGAATCAACACATAGCATCTTCTATGAGATCTGCCATGCTTGGCACACTAAACTGCTCTGCTACAGCAGCACCTACAACGGATAGGGGCCACTCCACACCGCTTTAGTGATGCTACAGACCACTATTTGAAACCATGAAAAAATCATCTTAACATGTTTTCCAGTGTCGAGACAAGGCTAGAGAATCTAGTCTTAATCTAAATTATATGGCATGTTTCTTAATTCTCTAAAAACGGATTTGTACACAGGCTTGTTTTATTTGGGATCTGTTTGGATGAGCTTTTCCATAAACTCGTGCAAAAGAGGAAAATGAGAAGAAAAATATGAAGTTAACTTCGCTATAAGCTAAAATTAGCTTATACATAAATTAAAATAATTTTTTTTGAGAAGTTTTATGGAGACACTAATTTTCAATTTTTCCTCTTATATTTTTCTCATAGAAGGAGCTTATGGAGTAACTCGTAGTCCTTGGTAGATTATAGTAACTATGATCCAAGTTAGTTTCGTTATTAGATTAGAGGCTAGAAAGCACATACACCTCTCATGGTTTATGTGACACATGTTGAACACATTTGTGACAAGGACATTTACTCAAAGTTCAATTAAAAAATCATTTAGCATAGGCTAGGGCACCTAAGTCAACACTTCCCTTTGATGGACATGTACTAATGTTATTGAAAAATTATATTTTGTTAACTTAAAAAGAAAAATTATATTTTGTTAACTTAAAAAGAAAAATCATCTTCAAATAATATAGAATGTTAAAAGATAATGTCTCTCGCCACTTTGATATGGCATGTCATCAAAGAAAAACTAAGAAAGTTATCTTAAAAAGGTGAGTATACATTTATTGATAAGTAGTTGTATTTTGCACTTTTTCCTAAAAGAAAAGTAAATTTGTTGTGAAATAACACCTATATAAATACACACACGTACGTATATGTGCTTACACCTATATAAATATACATTTATTAATAGATAGTTTATTTTGCACTTATTCCTAAAAGAGAAGTTAATTTTTTGTAAAATAACACCTATATAAATACACACTACATGAACACTTTGTAGTAATAAAAGATTTGCTTTGCATCCATATCCTTCATATTTAGCCAGAATAAAAGAATAATTTTTTTCAGAAAAAAAAAAAAAATTGATACATTGCTAAATATTTGCCATTGAGGGAATTGTCATGTTGCCTATGACAGAAATTTTTAATGGAGCACTGTTGTCAACCATGTGAATAGCACTAAGTTATTTACAGGACAAATGTGCTATTTCACACATTATATTTCACAAATATTATGCCAAGGTGAATGACAAGCTACTTATCCTCAACAAGAGTTGATAGAGAGGAACCAAAACATATAAAAACACTTACTGGAAAAAGTATATGATCAAGTTTCAAGGGAAGTGTTGTAGAAGGCTTTGGAAAAGGAAGTTATTCACAAAGCTTATATTCATGCTATCAAGCTATTCATGCCATATATGTAGATAGGATATCTACTAGTAGACGAACTATTGCAGGTGAAACAACAGGGCTCAACTTTGAGCTCTAACTTGTTCAATATAGTTTTAGACGTCGTTACCAAAAACATACAAAAGATTAGCCCTAACTTAATTCATATTTATTGAATATATAGTTTTGACTGAGGAATCAGAAAAGAGGTCAACTCTAAAGAATTTTGGAGATAGACATTAGAATAACAGCGCTATTACTAGAATATGACCAGGACAAAATAGGATATCGAAGTTTCAGCAAGAAACAAGAGAAAAGTGACTTGAAGGTAAAAATTGAAGATGTCGTAGATCAATATTGCAAGTGGTGGGAACAGTAATGAAGATGTCATACACAAAATACAAGATAGTGTTAAAATGAAAAAGTAACATTGGGAGTTATTTGTCACCACAAAGTACCTATTAAACTTGAAGAGGTGTTTTGTCTTTACTACTATGAGTCAAATAGTTATACTCTATGGTGGTGTATCATGTTGTACTTTACAGGAACAAGGGAAAAATGGGATTGGTAGAAATGACAAGTTTAAAATGAATATGACCAAACTGTACATGATACAAAAAGATTGTATATGTGGACATATTAGAGTGACTATGACACAATGAGAAAATGATAGAAGTTCAGTTAAGGTGGTTTGAGCAGTGAAGAGAAGATCCAATGAAAAGGAGTAGAGACTAAGGACATTGGAAGAAATTATTTAAAGGTATCTCAAATAATATCTTGAAAAATTGGTTTTTAATCAAGCTCAATAATTTCATGCGATCTATATGATCAACTTCTTGCGGGAGAAGACTTTTGATGTAGTAGGTAGAAACTCCATTCCATTTCTACTACAAGTTGGATCAACAACTAATTAGTCATTTAACGGATACTTGATTAAGCAGATTTTAATATTGAACTTGTCAAATCAAATAAAAAATAGAACTTTTTAAGTGCTCTAGCCAAAATTTTATCAATACTCTTGATAATAGTCTTTTGTCAGAAAAATTGCAAGTTCCTAAATTACAATTGCGCAGTATGGATCTCATTGATTACCAAGAAGTTAAATCTTTTTATACAATATACCCACCTAATGCCATGCATTTAATTTCATATTAGTATTCCAGTACATCTTCCAAGCAACTGGAAGTTTAAGCTCTACCATTACATATTATGAAAACAAAGTTCTAATTGTGGAGGTTCAAGAGATATAGAAAAAGAAGTTGTGGCAATGACTATTTATATCCTAAGGGGTAAGGAATAATGTCTGCCATCAACCATTATTTACTCGTGACTTTTGTTTTTCAAGTCAGAAAAAAGTGAAATTCACATCCTTTGACAGAGCAAGCTAACTTATACAATTAACAAACTTGATAAATAAGGTGATTGCATCCACCAAATCAGAAAAACACTTCACACCGAAGCGCTTCATTCCCGTTCCCCCACAAAATTATACACCAACAAGAAACATAAAAAAATAAAGTAACAGCTTAACAATTATTTAGCCGAATTTGTATGTTTAGAAACCACACTATTTCATTGATTGAGGCACCTAGATCTAACTTGTCACCTAATAACCATACAAACTACCCTCAAAGACACCAGACAATTACAATCAGTCAAGAGAATGAAACAGAGCCACAATAAAATAGTATACCACTATAATAACCCAGACCCAAAACCAGTATAACTTATCACTTTTTTTCTAATTCATCATCTTAATTATGCCATCAGAAACAGAGAACAGCACAATGCAAAACCTTGACCATAATTTGCAAAAGCAAAACGTCCAACAGAACCAAAATTCAACACTCAAAAGAAAGTGGTAACATTTAAACTTACATATCAAACACGAGAGCCTCTCAATCGAGATCTTCCTGTCTGGTCTCCGACTCAAAATTCTGATTCCCCCTGTTTCCAGAATTCGACTGCCCACCATTATTCCCCCCACTATTGCTATTACTGTTGTCATCATCGCCGGCTCCACCAACATTACTTGTCTCTGCACCAGAAGAAACAAATTGCCTAAAGGGCCATGGCAAAGACACCCTAAACCTCCTCCGCTGCGAATTGTCTCCGTCAACAGGCGAATCAGGAGAACCACCAGGCCCCACAGCCAGGTTCCAATTCACCTGGGTAGCTGGCCCGCTGCCGGCACCACCACTTCCACCTCCACTACTGCCACCGCCACCACGGGCAGCCCTCTGCTCATAATCAGGATCATCTGTTGGCAACTCATACCGACAAACGGGACAGGAATTATGCAATTCCAACCAAGGCAAAATGCAATCCCCGTGATATATATGCTTACAGGGCATCTGCTTCGCGGTGTCACCAAGTTCGAACGCGTCTTTGCACACGGCGCACTGCGAGCAATCCGACGCCAGAAGCTCCTCTGTGACCGAGACGTCCGGCAGTCCTTCCACAGCCGTCTTAGAAGCCGGTGGGGTGCCGTAGCGGTTCGGATCGTTCTCGGCGAGGTGCTGGATCAGCTCCTCGAGGCCCGACCCGAAGAAGTAGTCGCCATGGGTGATGCCAGGGAACCGGAACGCTCCGCCGGGGTCGCCGGACTCGATCACGAGTTGGAGGTTCCCGCCGCCCGCCCTTAGGGTTTGGAAGTAGTTCTGGAGGAAGACCAAGGGGCTGAAGGCCTCGGCGGGGCTGGCGTCAGATCGGGTGCCGAAGAGATTGGAGAGATCGTCGACGGACTGGCCGGCGGCTCCGGGGAAAAGAAAGGGAATGGCGGTGGTCCCGGCGAGGGGAACGTCGGCGAAGAAGGGATTGGGCGGGTTAGGGTTAGGGTTAGGGATATCGAGTTCTTCGAGGAAGCCGTCGTTGCAATTGGGGCAGAGGAGATCGGAGGAGGGGGAAGGGGTAACGGTGACGGTGTCGTTGCACTGGTGGCAGAAGTATTGGCGAGGCTCGCCGGAGGTACCGTCGCCGCCGGCAGAAGACATGTCAACGGAAAGAGAGAGAAGAGAAGATAACTTAAGAGAAGGAAATGGGAGAAGAAATTGTATAGGAAGAACAGAACAGAGAGAAGGAAAAGAGGGTGATGGCAATATTGTAAATACCGTCAACGTGGAAAATCTGAGTCGGTAAACGGAGGATGAAATCACGCGCTATTTTAGGGAGTTGAGACTAAACGCGGACTTGGACCAGACACGACCTTTAACCAAATGAAATAATCCATATCTGCGTTTCCCCTTTTCTTTCCCAAATTACACTGTTCTTTCCAAAATTAGGTTATTACTGCTAAATAAATTGTTCAAATTATATTTAGGAAGTCAATTTAGTCTTTCTTATTAGTCATTTGGTTTTAAAAAATGTGTGATGTGAGATATTATACATTTGATTAAGGATAAATAATCATTAATATTTGATTCTCATTAACAAGACGTTAAAAAACTATAATGCACATAATCAATTATTACTTCTTGCATGTTAGGTTGAAAAGGTTCGAGCTTGTTTTAGCTTTCCCAAAAATGAGAGATTCCCAGTATCTTCGTTCATGCCTAAACTTACAAAATCAGTCGAAAGATGACTATTCATCACTTTAACAAACACATATTCCATGATTTCATAAGAATCAAAACCAGTAATTTTATCGTTGTAGGTAGGGTTGAGCATTGGTCTGTTTCAGATTCAATTTGTCAAATTCATTGTATGGTAGAGATGATAAAGAGGTGTGGAACAACAAAAGAATTTGATCATATGAAGTTGATATAAGAGAGTTTGCTTGTCTGATATTCCAGAATCTGCATAGCTTGGGGTTCTTTATCTCTACCTTTACTTTGAAATATTGGTATTTTAATCTTCTCTCTTTAGTTTTTTGTTTGCTGCAATTTTCTTTTCAAACTTTTTTTATCATAAGCCAAGTGCAATATCATCCAAGTAAGAGTCACTGGCAAATTGAGGCTTGTTCTCAAATATAATAAGGTTTTGCTAAAGCACTATTCTCAATATTGAAAGAAAACAATGAAGCTATTGAGATCTTTATGAAGCTTGTGGGACAGGTTCATGTGGATACCAAACCTACAAAAGAAGAAAAGTAGGTAAATAACCAATTTAGTTCTAAAAATTGTGACAACCGAAGAGTTGATGGATGAATAAATGAATCAAATTTTTAAGTTTTTCAATCCTTTCCATCCCATTACCAAATTTGTATATAAAATGAAAAGCAAGAAAGCAGAACCTATAAAAAAAACTTGTATATCAACAGACCTCAGTGTTAAGATGATTGTGTTGTTTTGAGTTGATGTAAGGATCATCGAATCGAATGTCCTCCATGCTCATGTCTTCGTCTTTCACTACGTGTGGATTCCCACTGCTTTAATGACAGAGGTATCAAACACACCTTCTTCATATGTATTCTACGCATGGTTCCATTCCTTTCCAAAAGCCATTCCAAAATGGGTTCCTTGTTGAAGTTCAAAGAGATGTGTATAGTCCAATTTCAACATCCTCGCTTCTTTCCATTGATGAACTGCATGGGTCTAATAACCAAATAGAAAGGCCTTGGTGCAGGTCTTCCTACTGGTGCAATAAGTTGACAAAGAACTTTGGCAGGGAATTCATTTCGAAACCAGAAAGAAATTGAAGGTCCCCTCTTTTGAAAATCGAACCACTCTGGAATACTCCCTCCTGGAAAGACAAACTCAGTATTTCCGGAAATTTCTCAAGACTGGAACAAGAAGAAAGTTCTAGTTTTTCAAGATAGGTCAGAACCCAATGAACAAATTTAAAGTGCATTTATTAACTTACAAGATGTGGAAAATAGTCTTTAAACTTGTCTTGGGTGAGCCATGGAACCCAACGACATAATGCAAAGGCCAGGTAACTTGCATATGACAAGATTGGTGGTATGAAAATTAGATGGTAAACAATTTGAAGGATATCCGGCCATTCCAGTACCTTCAAACTTTCTGGAAAATAACTGCGACCTTTGCAAAATTAGCATTCTACTGTTTCTTTTTTCTCAGAAATGAAGACATCCAAACATATGTGATTTCTATTTGACTTGTTCCCTGTTATTGCGAGATATTAATAAGTGCAAGACCAATTCACGTGTTTAGAGAAGTTTGAAAATTATTATACACTCTACTAGAAAATCATTAGTTTTCTATAATTTTGTCTGAACAAAATTATTTTCAAGAAATAGTTGTAATTTTTTCTATAAATAAAGTTTCACAAAAAATTACTGCAATTATTTTTAACAGAAAATACTTAGAGTTTTTTTTGTTTTGTACGGAAATTGCTTATCAAAAGTTTCTGCAAAAGTTGGACGGTGAATTTAGTCTGGAAGTTAAAATAAAAAATAAAATTCAAAGTCACTTTTTAGCCCTATATCAATTGAGTTTCTTAATCTCTTGCATGTTCCACCTCCACTTTAATAGCTGGTTTAGGGTTTAGGTTGATTCAAATATCTATTCCTTCATTACTTCCAGAAGTCCCATATTATTAGGGATAGAACCAAGAATGAGATAAGGCTGATATACAAATATTAATTATTATATGAAAATAAATATATTATATATTTAATATTATTATTTAAATGTAAATTTTATGAAATAAATTTTATTTTATGTAATTTTTTTAATTTTATTTTTAGATATCTTTAAAATTATTTTTTTTATATTTTAAAATATAGTATCATAAAATATTATATTAACGAATTTGTAACAAATAAAAAAAATGTATATTAATATTTCATATTTTTATATTATATTATACATTAAAAAAATAAAATAAAAAATTTAAAAACTAAAGAGAAAAATTTACAGTTTTATGTTGTAAGGTAAATTTATGAAAGAGAAAAATATGAGATTTAATAAATGATAAACATAAAAATATAAATGTAAAAAGACAAAATGGGTATCTAATAGAAAAAGTTAGTGCAAAAATGAAAAGGTGGGAATAGAAAGATAAAAATTTAAAATTAGAAAAAAAGAAAGAGAAAAGAATATAATTGAAAAGCTGTATAAAATAAATAAATATGATATTTATTATAAATAAAAAATTAAGAGAATAAAATAAAAAAAGTTAAAATTTATTTAAATTTATAAAATAATTTTATTTATTATATATATATATATATATATATATAAATATTTACATTTATGTAGCTAAATCTGTCGCGACAAAATTTTATATTTTTCTAATTAATTGGTTGTATAAATTTATTTTGGAGGTTAAATGGTCGCAAAAATTTTCTCACTACATAGTTAATTTATCACAATTTTTTCTATAGCAAATCCATAATTAATTTATCGTCATTTTTCTCTAGCAAATTTTTCGTGCTTATATTTCATAATTATGCTTTCACTAATTCGTGCTAATTTCACAATTATGTTTTCACTAATTTATACCTAATCCCTCCTAAATGTACTCATGCTAATACACAACTGATTCCTTACAATTATATTCTCGTTAATTTATATCTAATCCCTCACTAATTAATTTTTAATTCATTACAAATGTATTATTACTAATTTATAACTAATCTTTTACTATTGGTAACTAATAGCTTTTTAATCTGTAACAAATTGCGCATGTATTCATTAGCAAATTCGTCGATGTTTCTGTCTGCATTCTAGTATCAAATATTTGTCTAAAATAGTTACAATACTTGCATTATTTTTCAAAAATAAAATAAAATCTATAACTTCAAATAAAAATACACAAACTGATCAATTTTTATTATAAAAGCCACTTGTTCAAACATAGTCAAGATAATCTTTTAAACATTTAAAATATAATTAAAGTAACGTATCAAATTAAAAGTACTGTATCAATGTAATTAAAATAAAATAAAATTCTTAATTTTTTAGACCCACATTCATTTTTATTTTATTTATTGTTGCATATCATTCTTAGTTTCAAGAATGTAACCCATTAAGCAATAAGATTTTTACACATAATCAAATACTACTCCCTTAACAGTTCAAGTAAGTCAATCTTGCTCATATTTTATTTATTACATATTACATTAAAAATGATTTCATATTTTTTATATAATTTTTTTTCTTTGATTAAACGTAATCCCAAAAACAAAAACAAAAAAAAAAATCCACCTTACTAATTAGAAGTCATATTTACACTTAAGATAAATTAAATGATCAATTATTAAAATAAAAATAGTTATAGATCAAGCCATACCAACTTAGTTTTTAACAAATTAAGTGAGGAAATTTTATTTTGACAAAAAAAAGATAAATTTTTTAGTTTTTTAACCCTAACAAGCTCTATCCCATGATCAAATTTGTAAATAAAATAAAGCAAGAAAACAGAACCTATAAAAAAGACTAGTATATCAACAAACCTTGGTGTTAAGATGATTGTGTTGTTTTGAGTTGATGTAAGGATCATCGCATCGAATGTCCTCCATGCTCATGCTGTCCTCTTTCACTACATGGATTCCCATTGCTTTAATGAGTGAGGTATCAAACAAATCTTCTTTATATTTAATCTTCACATGGCTCCATTCCTTTTCCAAAGGCAATCCAAAATGGATTCCTTTTTCAAGTTTAAAGAGATGTGTATAATCCAATTCCGACGTCCTCACTTCGGCTTCCTTTAGGCGTCCAAAACGAAATTCTTCAACACCATTAATGATCACCTTGGGTGTAACCAAATGGGAAAGAGCTCCTAGTACTGGTGCAATAAGATAACAAAGAACTTTGGCAGGGAATTCATTTCGAAACCAGAAAGAAATTGAAGGTCCCCTCTTTTGAAAATCGAACCACTCTGGAATACTTCCTCCAGGAAAGACAAACTCAGTAACTTCAACTCCAGCCTCGTGAAGTTGCTGTTAGTCACAGATCATCTAGATTTCATAACTTCATCCACACTGAATGAACTATAAATTATCAATTCAAATTCATTAAAAACAAGACAATACCTGATTTAGCAACATGCTTGAACCCGAGGAAGCCAAGGATATACAGTTTATTGCCCTGAAATGTTTTAAGTTTGGTGGAACCCCTCTAATTTCCTGAAGTTTTTTGCAATCACTCACGTCAAGATGATACATGTTGTGAAATTCTTTGAGGCATTCGGGGAGGAATGTGATATTACTCTTCCTCAGTGATAAAAATGTCACTTGAGCCAACTGCATGAAACCTTCTGAAAATAAATCATCATTCGGCATGCAAGCGTGAAATCTTTCTACCTTATTAGATACGATTGAGTCCACTTTTTATTCAGCCTCTTCTGGTTTTACCCATTGCCACCCCTTGCAATTACCAATGATCAGATCACACAGTTCAGGCGTCAAGGCAATGCTACTTAACTGAAGAACATCACACTCCACGTAAAACTCTTGGAGTCCAGAAAGATTTTGAAATGAATTTGACAATTCTTTTACCGGAAGGTCATACAGATCAAGTTTCTTTATGTTTTCCATCTTTCCTAATATTTCCGGAAAATTCTCAAGACTGGAACAAAAAGAAAGTTTTAGTCTTTCAAGAGAGGTCAAGTTGAGATTAGGAAAACTCTTTAGGTTGCTGCACAATTCAGCATTCAATATTTTAAGTTTATCCATAAAACCAACTGAGTCGTGAACTGTAATTAAACTCTCACACCCTTCAAATGAAAGTTCCTCCAAATTTGGGAGATTAGAAACGTCAGGTATCTGTGTTAAAAGTTCGCAGTGGTCAAAGTTCAAGATGGTTAGATTCTCGAACCACTGCAAAGAAAATATTAAGGAAAAAGAAATAAGAAACCAATGAATAAATTTAAAGTGCATTTATTAATTTTTAAGTTGTGGAAAATATAGTCTTTAAGCTTGCCTTGGATGAGTCATGGAACCCAAATGACGTAAAGCAACTGTCAGGTAACTTGCATATGACAAGATTGGTGGGATGAAAATTAGATGGTAAACAATTTGAAGGATATCCGTGCCATTCCAGTACCTTCAAAATTTCTGGAAGATAATTGGGACCTTTGGAAAACTTAGCATTTCTAACAATAAGTATTTTAAGGTTTTCCATCTCCATGAAGGTGTTTTCGTTATATTCTACTGTTTCTTTTTTCTCAGAAATGAAGAAATCCAAACATATGATTTCTATTTGACTTGTTCCCTGTCATTGCAAAAAGGCACGAATCAACCACAATATTAGTAAGTGCAAGACCTCAATTCACATGTTTAGAGAAGTTTAAAAAATTATTATGAAGAGAGAAATTTACATGGTCAGAAAAAAATAACTATGATGTGATATGAATCAAGATAAGAAAACAAATCAATCATTGATTAAACTCACTTACAGTTTTTCCTTTTAAAACTTGAATTATATCTTTCGGTAACCATAATCTCCTGCGCTTCCCTGGCTCTTTCGGTGATTCTTTCTGGTCAATTTGTCTACCCATGTCCTGAATCAGGTCGTGCATTTCAACTGTACTATGCATGTTCGCACTAACCTTTATGAGAGATTTTTCGACCAGCACACCGATATGATGTTCCATGCAGTCGTCATAAAGAGCAAGAAGCATGTCCTCAACTTCTGTCAATGCATATCCTTTGAAGCAACACGCAATATCAAGAAAAACACTCTTCTCTTCTTCCTCCAAACCTTCATAGCTTACTTTAAGGACATCCAGGATTTCTTTCTTTGGAATTCTCTTGTACTTTCCGATGGCAGATTCCCATTCTTTAACACTTTTTCCAAACAGATTGGAACCTATTACTTCCAAAGCCAATGGAAGGCCAGAAGCATAAGATACTACATGATTCAAGACCTCCTCGTATCTTGGATCAACCTTTTCCTTTTTGAAAGCTTTCCATTTAAGCAGCTGAAGAGCATCTTTGTCATTCAATTCTTTCACCTCATATTATAGTAACTTGATGAGTTGCCAACAATTGTTTGTCCCGAGTTGTGATGATGATTCTGCTGCCGGGACCAAACCAATCACGTCCTCCAGCAACTGCTTGTAATTGGTCGACCTTGTCAACATCATCTAGAATAAGGAGAACCTTCTTATTCTCGAGCCTATACTTTATCATTGAAATTCCTTGTTGCTTACTTGTTAAGTTGATGTCCTTCTCTCCTAATATTTGTGATAGAAGGATGTTTTGGAGGTGTTCTAACCCATGTTTGTTTGATTTTTCTCTCACGTTTTCAAGAAAACACAAACCATCAAAATTCTCAGTTATTAAACTATTATAGACAGCTCGAGCAAGTGTTGATTTTCCTACACCACCCATTCCGTAGATGCCTATCATGTGGACACCATCATAATATCCGACCTTCAAACATCCAACGTTCAAATGCTTCCTTACTTCTAGCACTTGTGACTCTAGTCCAGTTGGGTAATCCGCAACATGTAGGCAACAAGCACGATTAACCTCTTTAGAGACTCGGTCAACAATGCTCCCAATAAACTTGTATTCATATCTGTAAACAAAAAAAGTTCACACAAGTTTCAAACCAAGGTTAATATCTCTTAAGTGAAAATTAAACCAAAAAAAAATCATAAAGTAAAAAGATTGGTAAGGTGGTGTACCCGTGTTGGAAGTGATAGCCAGAGAAGTTAGCTACTTGATGCAGAGCCATCTTCCATTTCTGCAACTTCTCCTCAGCTTTGAACCTTTTCTCATGCATAATCAATGCCTCTCCATAACTACCTTTCTGGTGTCTGACATCAGAAGGGTTGACGTTATAAAAGACAGGTATAACCAATAGCCCTTTACTCTTGCAGTCAAGGATGGCAGCAAGTTCATCTAAGCAGAATGAGGAAGAAGCATAGTTCTGAGAGAGCACGGTGATGGCAATCTTGGACTCTTGAATTGCCTTCATAAGTGCCGGTGTTATTTCTTCTCCGCTCGGAAGGGCCTCATCATCTATGAAAGTGCGAATTCCTCTGCCACGAAGTGCTTTGTAGAGATTGCCAGTGAAACCATAACGTGTGTCTTCCCCTCTAAAGCTGAGGAAGACATCGTAGGTGAAAGCATGGGAAGAGGGTGTTGCCATGAGAAGAAATTTGATAGAGGTAATGTGTTTTGAAATGAAACTTTGAATGAATATGAAATTCAGAGACTGAAACGTAAAGACATGTTGCATACGCGGATGTATTGACTTTTTGGATGTACAGCTAATCTTAATTTGTATAATAATTACAGTAGTGTTGGTGGAAACAGGTATATAAGAAGTAAAGACGCGTTTCATCGTTTACTTTTGGAAATGTTTATTGTATAATATAAGAAATTAATAATATTTTATATCTATATCAAATCACGTACCCTCCTACCTAGTGGCACGTATTCGGTTTCTGATTAAACAATAACAGTAGAAGCAAGTATACAATTGTATATATTCAACTGAAGAAGATAACTTTCTACTGTTATTTATTAAGATTTTTAAATGAAAACAACGAAATTAGGTGGTATAAAATTGAAGCATATGGTTCTAATTTGAATTCATGAATGACTATTACGTTTAAGTACTTTTTTATTTAAATCTTTAATATGTGTCTAAGATAGGTATTTTTACTTAATGGCTTTAATAATTTACAAATGAGAAAACTAAGTATAGAATTTAAATATAAAATTTAAAAACTTAAAAACTGAAAGGCTTAAAATGCATTAAATCGTAATCATAGACTGGTGATACTCTTACGTCGGGTTGTAAATAAAATAAAAAGTAAAAAGCAAGAAAACAATAGAAAAGAACCTATAAAAAACTTGCATGTCAACATTAAACCTCTGTTTTTTAAGAAGTGGTCTGAAAAATAACCAAGGTAGTTCAAAGAGATGTGTATAATCCAATTCCATCCTCACTTCTTCCTCTAAACAAGGAAAACCGAATTCTTGAACACCATTGATGAACACTATGGGTCTAACCAAATCGATAGAGCCCAGAACAGGTGCAACAAGAAAACAAAGAACTTTGGCTGGGAATTTATTTCGAAACCAGAAAGAAATTGCAGGTCCCCTCCTTTGGTGATCGAACCAATCTGGGATTCTTTCTCCTGGGAAGATAAAATCAGTCCTTCCAGCCTCGTAAATTTTCTGTTAGTCGTAATTCATCAAGAATTCATTAGTCTATCCACATTACATGAACTATATATTATCAATTCAAATTCATCAAAAATCAACACAAAACCTGATTTAACAACATGCTTGAACCCGAGGAAGTCAAGGATATACAGTTTATTGCCCTGAAACGTTTCAAGTTTGGTGGAACCCCTCTAATTTCCTTAAGACGCTTGCAATCACTCACATTAAGAGAAAACAGATTGTGAAATTCTTTGATGCATTCAGGAAGGAACGTGACATTACTTCCCCATAGTTCTAAAATACTCACTCGAGCCAACAACGCGAAACCTGCTGAAAAAAAATCATCATTCAGCCTTCGAGCCGAAAACGTATATACCTTTGGAGATACGATTGAGCCACTTTTTCTTCACCCTCTTCTGAATTTACCCACTGCCACTCCTTGCAGTTATAAATATTAATATCAAACAGTTCAGGCGTCAAGACAATGGGACTTAACCTAAGAAAATCACAGTTAATGCATAACTCTTCGAGGCCAGTAAGATTTTGAAATGAAACTGGTAATTCTTCTATGCGAAGTTCATTCAAGCTAAGTTTCCTTATGTTTCCCATCTTTCTTGATATTTTTGGAAAATTCTTTAGATTGGAACATAAAGAAAGTTCTAGTCTTTCAAGAGAGGTCAAGTGGAGATGTGGAAAACTCAATAGCTTGCTACAACCTTTAGCATTCAATATTTTAAGTTTAGACATAAAACCAACTGAGTCATCAACTGCAATTAAACTCTCACACCCTTCAAATGAAAGTTCCTCCAAATTTGGGAGATAAGATACGTCAGGTATCTGTGTTAAAAGATGGCAGTAGTCAAAATTCAAGACGGTTAGGTTGTGGAATTTCTGCAAAGAAAATAATAAGGAAAGAGAAATAAGAACCCAATGAATAAATTTAAAGATGTGGAAAATATAGTCTTTAAACTTGCCTTGGATGAGCCATGGAACCCGAATGACGTAAAGCAACTGTCAGGTAACTTGCATATGACAAGATTGTTGGGAAGAAAATTATATGGTAAACCATTTGGAGGATATCCGTGCCATTCCAGTACTTTCAAACATTCTGGGAAATAATTGGGACCTTTGGAAAATTTAGCATTTCTAACAATAAGTATTTTAAGGTTTTCCATCTCCATGAAGGTGTTTTCATTACATTCTACTGTTTCTTTTTTCTCAGAAATGAAGAAATCCAACCATATGATTTCTATTTGACTTGTTCCCTGTTATTGAAAAATAGCACGAATCAACCACAATATAAGTAAATGTAAGACCTCAATTCACGTGCTTAGATAAGTTTAAAAGATAATATAGACTGAGAAATTTACGATATTTGAAGAAAAAAAGTAACTATGTTGTGAACATATATAGAACAAAAAATGAATAAAGATTAAAAAGCGAATCAATCATTGATGAAGCTCACTTACATTGTTGTCTTTTAAAACATGAATGACATCTTTTGGTAACCATAATCTCCTGCGCTTCCCTGGTTCTTTCGGTGATTCTTTCTGGTCAATTTGTCTACCCATGTCCTGAATCAGGTCGTGCATTTCAACTGTACCACGCCGACTAACATTTATGAGAGATTTTTCAATCAACACCCCAATATAATGTTTCATGCAGTCATCATAAAGAGCACGAAGTAAAATTTCAACCTCTGCCAGTTTATATCCTCTGAAGCAACAAGCAATGTCAAGAAAAACACTTTTCTCTTCTTCCTCCAATGCTTTAAAGCTTATTTTAAGTTTCTCTAGGATTTGATTATTAGGAATTCTTTGATATTGATTGATAGCCGATTTCCATTGTTCAACACTTTTTGCAAACAGGTTGGAACCAATTACTTCCAAAGCCAACGGAAGGCCAGAAGCATAAGTTACTACTTGATTCAGGACCTCCACATAACTTGGATCAAATTGTTCCGTTTTAAAAGCTTTCCATGTAAGCAACTGAAAGGCATCGTTTTTATTCAATTTCTTCACTTTATATGTTATTTTAACCTCATAGGATGCCAGAGGTTGTGTATCTCGAGTTGTGAGGATAACCCTGCTGCCAGGACCAAACCAATCAGGACTTCCAACCAGTGCCTGTAACTGCGAACACTTGTCAACGTCATCAAGAATCAAAAGAACCTTCTTTCGCTGCAGCCTTTGTTGTATCATTGAAATTCCTTCATGCTCACTTGCTAAGTTGATGTCCTTCTCTCCAAGTATTTTTGAAAGAAGGATTCTTTGGAGGTGTTCTAGCCCATGTTTGTTTGATTTCTCTCTCACGTTTTGCAGAAAACAAGAACCATCGAAACAGGCAGCAATCAAATTATAAACTGCTAGAGCGAGTGTTGTTTTTCCTATCCCACCCATTCCATACATCGCTATCATTTTGAATCCATCACAAGATTCAGCATTTAAAAGCTTCCTGACTTCTAGCACTTGTGATCCAAGTCCAACTGGGTAATCCGCAACATGTAAACGAGCAGGATTAATCTCCATAGAGACCTTCTCAACAATCCTTCCAATAAACTTGTATTCATATCCAATTCTGTTTAAACAAAGAAAGTTTTAACAAGTTTGTATCCATGTCTTCATACGTATATTTATTATCTAGGTTAACAAGCATTTCTTTTATCATAATAGAAATTTAAACCAACAAAAATTATAAAGTAAAAAAGATTTGTGAGGTAGTGTACCCGTCTTGGAAGTGATAGCCAGAGAAGCCAGCTACTTGATACAGAGTCATCTTCCATTTCTCCAACTTCTCCTTCTCAGCTTTAAACCTTTTCTGATGCTTAGCCAAGGCTTCTCCATAACTACCTTTCTGGTGTCTCACATGAGAAGGATCCACCTTATAAAAGACCGGTATAACCAACAATCCTTTACTCTTGCAGTCAAGGATGACTACAAGTTCATCTAAGCAAAATGAGGAAGAAGCATAGTTGTTAGAGAGCACAATGATGGCAATCCTTGACTCTTCAATTGCCTTCACAAGTTCTGTTGTTATTGCCTCTCCGCTTCGAAGCTTTTCATCATCAATGAAAGTGTGAATTCCTTTGTTACTAAGAGCTTTGTAGAGATTGCCAGTGAAACCATAACGCGTGTCTTCCCCTCTAAAACTGAGGAACACATCATACGTGAATGCACGGGAACTTGGAGTTGTCATTAGAACAGAGTTTAGAGTGATAATAGTTACCGTGTTGGGACTGTAAACGGAATCAAACTTTGAATGAACATGAAATTGATAGAGTGAATTGTAATATAATGTAAAGTGGAGTTCGAAGCAATAATTAGCGTGGGACCTGTTGAGTGAATTGTAATATAATGTAAAGTGGAGTTCGAAGCAATAATTAGCGTGGGACCTGTTGTACATTATGCAGACGAAGCTTTGGGAAAATATCTTCGTTGCTCTCTTTCTAATTTGCTTCACTTGTGTTCTATTAGTTACACGTGTACGTTTTCCATTTGTTAGTATTGTTTTATGTAAGTTTGACTAACTGCATATTTGACTTTTTTCCTTTTTATATTTAACCTTCTTTTCTTCCT